TGTTAATGTATTTTATAGTTATACTTTCTATTTGATGTTAAAATATTTTTATATTATCTTATATATTTAATAATGTAAAAAAACAATTAACCCGATCGAACCACACCGATCCGATTTAAATTGAATTGGTTTAAAAATTTTATTAACTGATTAAATTAGATTGATTTAAAAAATAATAAAATGCGAATCAAATCACACTGCGAACACCCTGCTCACAAGGTCCCACGAGGGTCGGGGTAAATTGCTACCCCTAGTTCTAAGTGTACCAAATATTACAATTTATAAAAAAATACTATAACTTTTCACAATTTAGTATTTTATTTCATTTCATTACAAATCTCATAAGTATCAAATTGGTATTTTTACAATAGTTTCTCGTTTAAATTTTAATGAAATTAATATATTATTTTTATTTTATCTTACTTTTTTTTATTTAGAAAAATAATACTTATACAATAATTTTTTCACAATAAAAATTCTATTAGGAGTTTAAGTCACGCCAAACAGGACACTTAGAGTTGAGTTCCCCTGCTTTTGTCCTCAAAACTAATGCTTGCAGGGACCCCTACTAGAACTAGCTAGTACCTGCTATATATAGTTTTTCAGTCCTAAAGCAACGCCATAACTGAAACTTAAGAGACAAAAAGCGCCTGCCCATACAATTTCGAATCTCCGCCTCCGCCGGACGGAACCTTGCGAAGATGGAAGTCGAGTCGTTCATGACGGAATTCCTTCGGCAGGTCGGTGGGGTTGCCGTCATCGATGGTGGCTTGGCAACCGAACTCGAACGACTCGGTGCTGATCTCAACGATCCTCTCTGGAGCGCTAAATGCCTCCTCAGTTCCCCTCACCTCGTTCGCTCCGTACGCTGCTCTCTTTCTCTATCTGCTCCGTTTTACATGTCTGTCTTTAGATCTTTTAGCTATTTGTTTCGAGTTTCTTCATTTTCCCATTTCGGTAATGCGAGAAAATGGGTGAGAAAATAAAACTCTTCTATATCTTGAATATCAATCTGTTAACAGAGATTCAATTCTTTTACCAATGTGAAAGTTTCTTAGAAATTCATTGGTTTCAGTAAATATTTCTCACCAATTGAAGGTAGAATATTAGGTTAGTGCAAATTCATTGGTTTCAAGAGTCTTTGTGGGGAATTTCCTGTATTCTGGAGGTTACTTCTGTTGTCTTTGAACTGAATTCAGCACTTATATTTGTTTGCCCTGAAAGGAAAAGTTAGATATGTGGCCGGATTATGGTCAAGAATGCATAATGAATATATGGGATTGGACTTGGTGCCTGGTCCATTATGGAATTATTAGTAGGGGTTTAGAGTTGCTTCTCCACGGTCTATAACCAGCTTTCTGGATTTCTTTGCTTGTGGGCAAGGTTGTTGTAGTCTTTTATCTCTCTTTTGTTGCTCCCTTGAGTCCCTCCTGAAAAGGAAAAATGAAAAGA